TACAAATGCCATCATATTTTCAGACTTCTTGTGCTGGATGCCTTTTATACTGGTTTGCTTTCTTCATGTATCGGACGTTATTGATGCCACCCCATGGTATTCAGTGTTTTCAATCCTTGTCCTACCAATAAACTCTGTGGTCAACCCCATACTTTACGACAAATCGTTTGCCGAACATTTGCATTCATTCTATTTTGATTGCATATCAATTAAAAGGCATTGTGCAAGTCGTCCCGACGATAGTAAAGACAATGTTGAAGATTTGGATCACGGTGCACAAATTGAAATGCAACAGTCTAAGAGTAAGAATGTTAAAAAAGAAATTGTGACTGTGTGAGAGAAGAAAAGTGATAATGAATAACGATGTTGTCCGTGCTGACCCAGCGTGCTACTTTGCAGCGCAGCTCGTCCGGCCTTGGCATGGTACACGTTGTATTCCTGTTTTTGCATGATAAAAGGTATACAACGTGTATCAACCCCGGCCTGGAGTCATTTAGAAAAGTATTATTTGTTAATCTGAACCAATCATTTCCAACTCGAAGTGATGTATAATAATATAATAATATAATCATGACGACATGACTATTGACTATGAAAATTGGATTTTGAACGATCGACGAGTGTCGCATGTCGACGGTCTATCTGAAGCTGATCTATTAGTATAAATATTTGGAACAAATATTTTACAAGCATCACCCATCAAATCATGAGCTTCAACTATATATATATACAATGCTTGCAGCTTGAACACTTTCAATTACAATCATTACTTCATATCCTATTTATATCCTTATTTATATCCGTCCTTAATTTTTTTATTTTAAACTCCCTTAATGTAAATTTGATTTTTTTGAAGATGCAACAAAAAATCAATTTATAATTTAGAAACACAAAACAATACTTTTATTTTAAAATCAGTTTCAACAACGTATTAGTTGTTTACATAATTTAATATTTATTTGCCATTTTGTTAATGTATGGACTAGCCCGGAGCGCGCTACTTCGTAGCACTTGCCTCGAGAAGAAAGCGGCGCGCGCTTTTTCGAAGAAATTAATTAGACGAGTAAAATCCGTCAAATAATTTATATACTTAAAGTATTTGTGATTTGTGTGCCTATACGTACTACACGTACTGCAACTGAAAACTAAAATTAAATGCAATGTTTAGTAAATTTTCACACGTCTTGTTTAAATTACCTAATTATGGGTCTTTGCGTACTACGTGACGCACTTTTTACTTTTTACTTTTCTTTTTGCTAATTGTTCCCCTTTGTTTGTTTCTTCTCTCATGCCGCGCGCTTTCGGCTTGACGGATGTTACTCGTCTAAATTTCTTCGAAGTAGCGCGCGCCGCTTTCTTCTCGAAATGTTAGCCCGATGGCACGAGCTACGAAGTAGCGCGCGCCGGGCCAGATCATTAACAATGGTCAAGCCTTCGGCGTGCCCGCAATATTACTAGCGCGATGGCTTTGATTATTGTCCAAATAACGTTAACATTTCGAGAAGAAAGCCGCGCGCGCTACTTCAAAGAAATTTAGACGAGTAACATCCGTCAATTTGATTAAAACAACACGTTGTAATACTGATTTCAGTTAAATCATTTCGTGGCAATTTGCCGTGTACAGTGTAATGGCGTGCAATTGTGACCGGCAGTTTGGAAACAGCGTGGAGCAATGAAAATATTTATTTAAAATAACTAAAAGTCGACTTGTTTTTCATAAGAAATCAAGCAAATCGAAAAAAATATTTTACAATCAAATTGGATGTCGCTAATTTGTAATTGTGAAAATATACTTATTAGTACGGCCACGAACCATTAATAGAAATATAAAATAATTACCTAGATTGCTAGTACATAGTATATAATAGTGCTCGCTTTGACGGATAATACTCGTATTTGAAGGAATTCGCCGTTTCGTACGAACTATTATCATTCAAAAATCTTAATGGGTTAACATGAGCAATCAATACTCGTATAAATTTCTTCGAAGTAGCGCGCGCCAATTTCTTATCCCGAAGCAAGTGCTACGAAGCAGGGCGCAATGGATCAATGCATTAATAATGGACAAGTCCTTGATTCTCTGACAGAAGCTTGAAATTGTTGTTTTCTTGGAATGTGGAAAAAGCGCTGCGCATAGGGATAGGCGTGCCAAATAAATGAAATAGCAAATAGGCGTGATTTTAAATTTTAAACTAAACGTTTAGAGTGAGTTATTAATCAAAAAGGATTTACAGCCTTTAGTCGGTAATCAATAAAACATAAAACCCTAAAAGATGAACTGATATCGTACAGATAAGAGAGGCAAAATAGTTGTCAGAGATATTTAATTCTCTATGTTGGGTCAGAGGTCCAATCATGCAGCTAACTCGATTAAGGCAGTAATAGGCAGTAAGTTTTCGTGAAAAGCAAGGGTGAGTTGTGCCGTAGCGGGAATTGAACCAACGACCACTCGATTAACTATCGGATGCTGGTTAAGTTGCATAGTAGTGTCCGAATTGCACTGATTCTAGCCCAAGTAGTGTCCGAAAGGGCGCCCTGTTTTGACATACCTCCAGAGCCGGTACTCATTTCCTCTCTGAGCTGAGCTAGCAGGGTAAAATTTGTTAGGGGTATTTCTATAAATTTCTCTGGAAATTTCTCTTTGGAAATTCCAGTTTTTGATTGACACTACTATTTATTGTTATTAAAATGCTCATTGTAGCCAGTTATTTTAAAAAAGATTTTCATCATCATCATCTGAGTTAGCTAGTGTATATCAGTTTTTTGTTGGTGTTTTGTCTTTGTTTGTTTGTCCGTAGTAGGAATTTACTGTTAATTTGGAGACTGGGTGCAGTAATGTCCCAGAGGGTTTGTAAACATCATGGATGCTGACTAAGCTTACCTGATCCTCTCCAACTTGTATTAGTACACTACTTCATCCACACCAGTCATTTCACTACATTAAACTGATTGAGGTGATCTGCCCATTGTACACGCTGAAGCAATATGCTATGATGAGTGGAACATGAGTTAGGATCTGTTTAGTCCGTTTCATGGCAAAAACATTTATTAACTATCGGATGCTATACCATTTAGCTATCTCGCCACATATTCAAGCCCAACAATTCACTACTTGTACTATAGATTACATGCCATATCAGTTGCTGTATTGCACACAAGTGTGTAACACACAATTACGGTCCTCCGACCTAGCTATTTTGCAAATATAACCATTAGGTTCAGCGGATATTGTTGGAGTACAAACTTGATGATATCTGGACTTTGTAAAATAGATAATGAAAATCTTAAATCAGAAGCTGAGGGTATTTTTGTAGAACTTCATGCATTCTACCTCATAAATGTAAGGAGAGTACAACCCCTAATTATGATAGATTATGGGGTCGTAGACTCAGGGAATCCTGTTAGATACCTTCCTAGCCAAGTGAAATTCTGTTTTTCGTATGTGCAAAACCTGTAAAACAAAATACACCACCTAATAAATAACAATCATAAATACCTACCGATTGGACGATAGTCTGCTACAAACGATGTTACGCAACTGCCCGGTCTGCGCCATTCTATAAGAGAACTGTAAACAGAAGCTGGGCTGCGTTTAGGATCGGAGTTGATGGTACTTCCAGGGCGTGGTACCACAAGTAATGCAATATATATGATAGTTATATAATAGCTTAATTCAAGCTTTACTGTCTGGGGGGACCTACTAGTAGGCCGTTACACATCAGATCATGTTCAGTGGTGTTACGTTGCCATTTGGCGCCACCGCCCAAAAAGCGCCCCCTCTTGGCATCCCTCCCAGTGGTGTAACGTTGCCTGTTGGCGCCCCCTGCCAAAAAAGCGCCCCCATGTTGGCGCCTTCTCCCCTTTTGGCCCCTCCCTAAAATTTAGGTGATTTTATAGGATACACCCCCTCCGCACAGTGGGGTCAGCAGAGCCCTTTATTACAGTGGGGTCAGCAGGGCCCTTTGTTACGCCACTGGCCCCTCCCCCTCTTGTAGTAGAAAGGTAAAATTAAACAAAGTGACTTTAGAGGATATGCAGGTAATATCTCTAAAAAGGTAAGATGTGATTCTAGAGCAACATGCGTAATTTTGCTGGTATTTTAGTTGAGTTTTTCAAAATTGTACTACATTCAAACCACGATTTGGCACCCCCCTAAGATGGCGCCCCCTGTAGAGAGAAAACCAATATTTTTGTCAGATGAATCAGAGATTGACTAATGGACAATATAATTTGGTCCCCCCATTATCTGTCAGTGAATTTAGTTCTGAATATGGCTCCTTTTTGTCATTTTAATGAAAAGAGAGAGTGTAGACTTATCTTTAAATTTGCTATGTATCTAGACAATTTGTATTAGATATCGGGAAATATGTATAATGAGAATTAAAATCTCAATTGTAGACATCATTTTTAGATTTTCATCATCATCATAAATTACTAAATTTATAAGAGACATATATAGACTATTAAACTATAGTATAACTGGAAAGCATGTCGTCACAGGGAGGAAGCTACTAGTATTCTTTGATATATTTTTTTATTGTATCAAAAAATGTCATCACCACTGAAGATATTAGATACATCACATTGAAATGTAACGCTCACTCAGTGGCGTAATGTTGCATTTTGGCACCCCCACCGAAAAAGTGCCCCCCTGTTGAAGTAAAAAGTAAAATTGGACAAATTAGGTGATTTTAGACAAATTAGGTGATTTCAAAAGCAAAACGTGCAGTTTTGCTAGTACAGTTTTGCTAGATGGCACCCCCCCTCTGCACAGCAGGGCCCTTAGTTACGCCACTGCGCTCACTGAACACAATGTAATAACAACAAAATCGATCAGATTGTCCCTCCAAAATCTTTGCATGTTTCCAACCACATTACTATGCAACTTTCTGATTTGCACAGTACATGCAAAAAGAAACTTTGAATTATATGATAAATATGTAATAGATAATAATATATAAATATGTAAACATTGTAATCCACATTTTTCTCATAGATGATGAACACATCTCTAAATTTATCATTTACTGCCGGAATGGGCTACGATCAGAAGCGAGTGGTATTAGGAACTCCTCGAGTAGAGTTTTTATGCGACCTTTGCAACCAGTTATTATGCAAACCCACTCAGGTAAGCTTGTCACTTGTTTGGATTCTAGAAATGTGACATTTTATTGATAGAATCATAATTGTAACATGTTCATTTGTTCATGATATTCAGAGTATTCAGCTCAGCACAGTAGTAGCTCAAATTAGATGCTAAATTTCAACATTATTTAGGCTATCCAAATTGTCTACTTCTGTATGTACATCTACATTCTACAAGTTACATTTTATATCTTTGATAACAAAAATGTATTATTATTATTTAACCATTGTCCTCAATCGTAAAACAGCATACATCAATTTAAAACTTTTGATTCGCCAAGCATAAGTGATTGTTAACATCATAATAATGTTCTGGTTCCATCACCTAATAGTAAAATTGCATTCCTTAGAGTGTTTGTGGACATCAGTTTTGTACATTCTGTATAGAAGATTGGCTGGAGAAAGATCCACGGTGTCCGTACGCTTGTATGACCATCAATTCCTCTATTCACTTGTTACCACCTAAGGTTTGTTCAAAATAGTCTTACTCAATTCTCTTCGTACTCTTTCCCCTTAATGAGTATACAATCTGTCAAATTTGTGTACAAGGCTCGAGAAAAGAGTGATATTCCAGCAGTGCCCACAGACGTTAATTACATAGTAATTGAATGTAGGGGCCTTATCAAGTGACCCGTACGTTAAAACTTACTTAAACCCGGACACTATTCCCAGTTACGATTGGTACAGAAGATGGAGGGATTGGTACTAAAGTGTGCTTATCTGGGTAGTGGCTGTACAGCACAACTCACCTTAGCTGAAATACCTCAACATGAACTGGTAGGTCTTAACTTACTGATTACTTAATCGTTAACTTACTAATTACCTAATTGTTAACTTACAAATTACTTAATCGTTAACTTACTAATTACCTAATCGTTAAAACTTACAAATTACTTAATCGTTAACTTGCTAATTACCTAATCGTTAACTTACAAATTACCTAATCGTTAACTTACTAATTACCTAATCGTTTCATGACCGGATTAAGATGTTATATTTATTAGGTAGCTTCACCCCTAGTTCTCACATTACATGTACCAAATTATTAAGTGAATTAACTAGCACGTCCAGGTTTTACTATGTGATAAAATGGCGGTCTTGGAAACGTTGTATAGTTTCACCATTCTTATTCTAACATTTTTGTATCGTCTCCAAGTAAATAAAACTGGTCGTTATGATCTTTTAACACACAGACACGCGCAATATAATGCATTACATTGGCTGGTCAGGCCCGGGCTTGCCTATCCTTCAATATTATAAGTTCTTGTTTTACACTACAAATAGTAAGCACATCAAGCTCTCACTGCTCCAGCAAATAGTAAACTTGCTCACACTGCTCCAAGAATAAAACAAGGGGTTTTCTATTGTATAATGTATACGTTAACTAAGATAGCCTGTAATTAATTGATATGTAATGTGTTGTTACCGCACTTTTCGTTCACAAGTACAGTGTAGTGTACACAGTGCAATGAGTGGGGAGCGATGCACCGTTAGTCAATGTGGTGGAATGTGTCACAACGTTACTGTGTGCTGTCACAACGTTACTGTGTGCTGTCACAACGTTACTGTGTGCTGTCACAGCGTTACTGTGTGCTGTCACAACGTTACTGTGTGCTGTCACAGCGTTACTGTGTGCTGTCACAGCGTTACTGTGTGCTGTCACAACGTCACTGTGTGCTGTCACAACGTCACTGTGTGCTGTCACAACGTTACTGTGTGCTGTCAGAACGTTACTGTGTGCTGTCAGAACGTTACTGTGTGCTGTCACAACGTTACTGTGTGCTGTCACAACGTCACTGTGTGCTGTCAGAACGTTACTGTGTGCTGTCACAACGTCACTGTGTGCTGTCACAACGTTACTGTGTGCTGTCACAACGTCACTGTGTGCTGTCACAACGTTACTGTGTGCTGTCACAACGTCACTGTGTGCTGTCACAACGTTACTGTGTGCTGTCACAACGTCACTGTGTGCTGTCACAACGTTACGGTGTGCTGTCACAACGTTACTGTGTGCTGAAATACCTACAGTAAAGTTATGCCGTGATAGGTAGCGGTTTAGATGTATCAAAATTGTACATTTTTACAGAAAGTACCTTAATTCCCAAAAATTTGGGCGACAAAAAATTTGAGCGGGCCTCTCGCCCAAATTTTTTGCAGACCAAATTAATTGCATAAATCTTTTCCGTCTGCTAAATTTTTTGCTAACCAAACTTTTGGCATTTGGCCTGTGGCCCTGAAATCTATAGAAAGATGGCTTTTTCTTCATATCCAAGTGAAATAATATTTGAAATTTTAGTTTTCTAATCTGTCATTCATGGCTTGACCAATTAAAAAGGCTTATATTTTAAATGAATAGAAATAACTGGAATAGCTAACAGCTACTAATAAAACAAATGGCTAGAGGTACGGATAGCTAGAGATTTAAACAAGATCTGCAAATGGATTATCATCCACCGTAAAGTCTGATCTACAAGCATCAGTTATACCCGACTTCTCAAAGCCTTTCCTTATGTCATCTGGCCTCCCTTTTAAATATACTATCTGATTGAGAGACTAAATATCACTATTGTATATCTATCATTTTGTACTGTGCCATCATCACTGTATTTTTTAGTAGTTACTGGGCAGATCGTAAATTTTATAACGTGAAACAACTCAGACTACCACCTACATGCTTAAAATTGAAAGCAAAATGACTGGAATAATAAGGAATAATAATGAACTAAGGCAAATATCTAACTGAAATTTTAGTGGAAAATCGTTCATTTTTCGAAGAATTTGTGCCCAAATTTTCGGTCGCCCAAATGAGTTCAAATTCTTTGCCCAAATTTTTCGGGCTCAAATAAATTGTGCTCAATTTAATGGCACACAAATTTTTGGGAACTAAGGTAAGTATCTTCTACCAATCACACTACAGAGATTGACTGATGTAATAAATCGTATATAATATGAAACTTGATACTAATTACTATATTATCATCTTTTTAGGTAATGTTATGACCAGTTCGTCATCACAACACACTCAAATACCTAACAGTCAAGGTTGGGTATTTGGTGTTAATTCTAGGGTGAAACATGACCCCTGTAATGAATTGTTTTCGTTCAGTTTTAGAGTGATATGTTACATAATCATGTAATATGTTACATAATTATCACTGTAATGATGAGACACGTCTTGTTGATTTTTATATGTGTTTAAAATCAGTGATGCTCTCTCTCTCACTACAGCTTATGTATTAATAGGTCTAGTAAGACACGAGTGATGATTTGTGATTTTTAACAGTAAAATCACTGCACTGTGTACACGGATATTACCTCAAAACTGTCCATTTCCGTGTATATTTAAAAACTGTTTACCGCAAATGATTTTCATAAAATGAGGTGTAGTCTTCGAAGGGTATCTCGATCAATGAAATAAGATTAAAGAATTTTGACTGTTAAATCTGTGTTCAATGTCAAACACAAGAACATATTTTAAACATTTGATATACCCCCAGATTTTCAGTCTCTAACTAAGACCATACTCGTTAGGATCATTTCTACAGTATGTGTCCCACCTTAGTCTTCTACAAAAGACAACCGATTCAGTCACGATGATGAGGTTGTCCTTTGTTCCTGAGCAGGAAACTAGCTTCTTCTGAAGCATTGATGACTGTTCACCTGTTACCTTGTGTGACGGGGAGGGAGCAAAGGCAGCCTGAGTGGCCCATTCTAAAAACTGATACAATTTATAAATGTAGGCTGGCAAATCTTCAGTCAGTTGACTGAGGATAGTATGAGACCAACTGCAATTTGAATTGGGGTACTGGAAGTCAAAATCACAAAGAAAATAGAAAAATCATATTGTCCCATTTTCTGTCCCATTTTAAGTTTTTGAAGATGAAATTTCACAGTTTTGACTGAATTTCTCACCTGCAACCAATTAGTCAGTCAACTATAGATGCCATGTGACACAATTGAGGTGCTGGAAGTTTGATTCCGGTCGGAGGAACCAAATTACAGAAATCTTTACAAAACGAAAATTCATACTGTACAATTTCTGTCCCATTTTCAAATATGATATTTTCTGAACAGAAATTTGACAGATTTGATGGACATTTTGCCCAGTGACCAATTAGTCAGTTAACTGAGGATGGTATGAGACCAATTTGGGGTACTGGAAGTCAAAATCCCGAAGAAAATTGAAAAATCACATTGTTCCATTTTCTGTCCCATTTTCAGTTTTTGAAGATGAACTTTACAGGACCAAAATTTTACAGTTCTGACTGAATTTCTCACCTGCAACTAATTATTCAGTCAACTATAGATGCCAAATGACACAATTTAGGTACTAGAAGTTTGATTCCGGTCGGAGGAACCAAATTACAGAAATCTTAACAAAACGAAAATTCATACTTTACAATTTCTGTCCCATTTTCAAATATGATATTTTCCGGGGGAGGGCAAAAGTTAATGCACATACGTTGGGTCTTATACCACCGCCGCGCCGTGTTTCATATTTGAGACTTGTAGCTTTGCAGATGACATACTGTACCTACTTATTCGAGTATTCTGTCGCAAAAACTTAAAAATTCGGTTTTTAGGGACCACACCCAATCAACATGGAATTGCTTATACTCGTGTTTGCGAACATGCTAGAAAATTCATTGTTACATATTGCAATAGGTAATTAAATCCGGAATTTGATCTGAAAAGGTGGCGCCAAACGGATTTAAAATGACGAATTTATCAGGCAATTTGTTTATCTCGTTAACGAATTGATTGGGTAATCATGTGATTGCGTGCTATGACATAACAACACCGTAATTGGGCTCTCGGCACGATTCCAACCCAATTCCAACCTGATCACATAATGAATAACCTCTTTATGCTTCATATCTTGGTCATCTGAGAAGCTAGAACTCTCATTTTTTCAGGTCATGAGGACAAATGTAATTTGAATGGCCAAACAAAATTCCATACATTTTGGCTCGATCCGATTATTCAAACTATCAAATAAATGCGAAAATGAAGCTTCATTCGAAAAAAATGACTTTGAATATTCTTTGATTTGTCATATTCCTCGAATGAGTGGTGATAGTAAGTCATACCAGAAAGAATTATTTCAATTGGGCACTCAGTGACTGAGCTATAAAAGCCAACGTATGTGCACTGACTTTTGGCCCCCTCGCCCACCTCCCCCTCTGTATATTTAAAAACTATTTACCGCAAATGATTTTCATAAAATGAGGTGTAGTCTTCGAAGGGTATCTCGATCAATGAAATAAGATTAAAGAATTTTGACTGTTAAATCTGTGTTCAATGTCAAACACAAGAACATATTTTAAACATTTGATATACCCCCAGATTTTCAGTCTCTAACTAAGACCATACTCGTTAGGATCATTTCTACAGTATGTGTCCCACCTTAGTCTTCTACAAAAGACAACCGATTCAGTCACGATGATGAGGTTGTCCTTTGTTCCTGAGCAGGAAACTAGCTTCTTCTGAAGCATTGATGACTGTTCACCTGTTACCTTGTGTGACGGGGAGGGAGCAAAGGCAGCCTGAGTGGCCCATTCTAAAACTGAAATATAATATATACTTCTGACCGCTTTTTCAGCCGGGAGGGTGTTTCGCAGTCATCAGTCTGTGTACTGTTCATATGTAGTGTGTAATTAGATCTATATGTTATGTTTGGAGCGAGTCCAAGATAGCTGAATTTCGCCCACATAGAAGTATTTAGAGTGCAACAATGTGTGCACAAACTGCTATTCGTGGAATTTACCGCTCATATTCCGCCTGATACTTTATCCGAATTTAGAGTACATCGCAATCTATCTTATAATAGTAAATACCTAACAGCTTTTAGGACTTGATTCTAGATTCATGTATGATGATATGTGATTGGACTAAGTGAGATCTTATTTATTGAATTCAGCTATTCAAAAAGCTCCAAGTTACATCTTTACGTGATAATAACACTGACAATTACACTCCTTCGTCAAACATGTGCATATTTTGTCTTATGAAGAATGTATTATAATAAAGGATCAACATAAGCTCCTATAATAAACGTAATACAATCTCATGATGTGTAAGAGTTAAAATTTAATTATCGCTACATTTCAGAACTGCAAGTTTGCACTAGTCAGATGTGAGTACTGTAACGTGAAGGTGTCAAAACGTCAGCTCGCCACACATCACTCAGTATGCAGGAAGTGCCCTTCTGTTCAGGTATGCAGATTGTTTTATTTAGAACAGAAAAAATTAGTAGTGATATTCTAATTTAATAAAAATTTCGAGGTTCGACCGGGTTTTGAACCCGGGACCTTCTGCGTGTTAAGCAGATGTGATAACCACTACACCACCGAACCCTTGTTCAATTGGAAACGTTAGGATCTTAGATTGGGGGACCAAATGCATATATACCAGGCATGTTTCTCGGTGCATATTTAGAACCATATAATTGGACACCAAATGTATAGGCTATGATTTGTTTCACTTTCGCAGACTGCAGTGATGTGATTTTATATGCATTTTCTCGATTACCCCAAGTGGATTTATCTGAACAGGTTTCGTTCCGCAACGATATTTTGAATCGTTCGCTCTTTAGTGGGATATGTATAGATTTAATTCAAACTAGATGACCGGCCTTTTCTCAGCACCACAGGAGTTTCATGTAACAGTTTCTCTGCGTAAAAAAATTAGAAGATTCCATTTTCCTCTCGTTCGATTTCTGTTTCTGTTCTCAATGTTCCTTGCTTCATGCTTAAAAGGTTGTAAGATGATACCATTTTGATTGTACAGCACCCCTAATGCATGGGAGTTGTGTATAAATTAGCAAGTTGCCAAGAGAATTTACCGGTTTTCACATTTCACCTATGTATTGGTATCCCTATGGGAATGATTAACACTTTTAGAAAATATTCAATATTTGTGGTGTCATCTATGTAGGGCGCTGCGACAAATAAATGAAGAAACCATGTTTCTTGTCGAAATTTAAAATCTTGCGCGCGATAAAAACACGAAATACTGAAGTTATGTCGCGTTGTGCAGTTCTTTAGACTGGCCATTTCTCATGACATGATTTTCATTCCGTCTCCACTCTGCCTAGCGAGTCATACCCTTAACACATGCGTAAAACCTCTCTAACATTTCAGAAGCCGAAAGAAAACAACCCTGCCATTCTCAACGTGGAGCCAACTCCCGAGAATACTTCACAACATCCCCGGAAACGGAGCTCAAAATCGCATCGATCATCACCACATCGTTCTTCGCCGCACCGAGACGAACATGTTCATAGATCTGCGAGAGCTGAGAAGCGTCACGAGGTTAGGGTCGAGAAATCTTCTGAAACTGTTAAACATGAAACTAAACAAACAACTAAACACAGTCATGCGGTTCCGACTAAACCTAAGAAACGTCGCTCACGTTCGAGGGATGAACCCGTCCACATATCCCCTCCTAAACATCAGAAACAGTCCGAACATTCCCGTAAGTCAGTCAGACAGACAAGCAATGAAAGTGACGTTATTGCGCTTCATAAAGACTACAGCATCCTTAAATTTGACAATCATCCAAAACAGAAAAAGAAATCCTCAAGAAAGACTCCCATGTCAGAGTTTGATCCATATGTTATGATCGGGTTAAGTAGCGAGAGCAGCCCGAGCGACTCTTCGGGGGATAGTAATGATACAATAACAGATAAAATGGATGGAGTCAGCTACGATTCACATCCTCACAACAACCAATATCCCAACCACGCGACACACATGAAACTAGTGGAGGAGAAGCATCAGAGGGTGAGGAAATCCAAGAGGAAGCGAACAAAACGTGTTGAGAAATCACGTGACTCTGATACAGAAATGTTGGAGGATGGTGGTGAGATTGAGGAGGATTCGGTGACTTACAGTTATATAAAACGGACTTATTCTATCCAGTCTGTTAATTCGGCTACGTTCAATACGATAGCCAATCCTGAGCCTTATTCTGCTCTCCATCAAAACAAGAAATCTATCAGAGAATTTGTTTCGAGGTCTGACATTCAGATTAACCGGACGGTTGTCAAAAGAGAACCTCCACCAGATTCCTCAACTGGATCTTCTTCGGATGATGATTTTGGCGCCAGGGTTACAGTTAAAACTGAACCAGTAGTTAAACCGGAAATGCTGACGGATGAGGAAGCTGAACCCTGCCCCCAACTTGTGCCTTCTGAGTACAATAACGGTCGTATAAAGGAATCACCTGGCCCGTCATCCGGCAAGAGGTCTAAAAGACCAGCTCCTAAACCCCCAGTTCCTAAACTTCGTGTTCCAGGACCACCTCTTCCGCCAAGAACAAAGAAACAGAGTCCCCAGGAACCAAGCACTGATTACAAGTCACAGCTTGACTCGTACAGAGCAAGACTCGAGGAACTTTCTGGCCGGGTTCTGAAACAGGAGCCGTCCCCTGCAAGTAATGAACAAGATCCACTGCATCAAGTTCAACCACAGTGCAACTACGGGGGAACTGATTATCTTAACACCATTCCTGATTCACAGTTCACGTCAGGACTGAACATCTTCCTGCATGATCTCATGCTGAGAATTCAAGACAAAATTGAGGACGGTAGTATCGCTTTCTCTGACGAGGAAGAGTCCGAATCTTTTGATGAGATTGATGAAATGGACGAGGAACAGATAGCCAATTCAGAGCTTGTGAAGCCGTTGTTCAACACCATCAACCAAAACAGGGACTACGCAAAGAACGAGCCTATGAAGACTATTGGGTTGAGCACAGCTGTTTTACCAACACTGGCTCTCAACATGCCTCACCCCTCATCTAGTGGCTTGGGCAGCGTCAACACATCCTGTACCACAACCCAAGACAGCTTCCACTCGATTGATATTACTTTACCGAGGGAAACTATAGGAGTTCAAACTGATGTAACTCCTTCACCGTCTCGAGATCCCGGACCTCTTTACAAACACACACAAACAGACGGGAGTTACAGAAAATCTCCTTCCTCTGACAACGCTAATGACTCCTCTGATCTGACTCAAACCAAATCGGACGTATCTGTTGGTTGCACTTCCTCCGAAGATAACACCAAGCTGCAGACCCACGACAAAGGGGTGGGTACTGCTGATTTCGAGCCCGAGCCTCACGATGCGTCCGTGTATCATAGTGTTCTTTCACCTGGTGGATCCACTAGTTCCTCCTCTTCCAACAAATCTCCTCGTCGCAAATCTCCCAATCTTACAAAGAGTCCTGCTAAAGGAATTTCAAAATCCACTGCTACAGTCTACACATACAACAGTAAACCACCAAGACCGAGGGTTGTGGAGAGTCTTGAGCCAACTTCCAATGAGTCTTCGCTAACAAGGAACATGAAGGGAGGGTTTACGTTCTCAACTGATTGTAGTAGCTACGAAAGAATTGACGGTATACCGGGGGTTTCAGAAGATTTGAGTAGACCGAGTAGTGGTGACAGTTTGTCTGATATTTCTACTCCTTTGAGCACGCTTGATCGGGACGCTCTGCCTCCGACTGCTGAGGAAGGGTCTGATGAAGCTGCACCTACACACAGAGAAATAGTTGTGGAAGAAGAACAAGTTGATCCTGTGGAGAACAATAAACCGTCCGATTCACCCGAGAGACATGTTACCTGGTCTGAAAGTGTTGAACACATCGATCCTCCGACCTCGAAAGAAACAACCCCCAGAACATCAGCCAACGATCCGTTACAGGATGTTCTCCCAACTCCACAGGAGCAGTTTTTTCGGGAGGATGATGATAAATTAGATGATACTGGTCATATTAAAGTAGAATCGAATGAGGTTCGCGCTATAGCGATGGTCGCTGCTGCTGTTGACCCTGAGCCAGTTGCAGTAGTCGGTCATGTCACTGTTGATGTAGATCCTTTCCCATTCATGAATTTGAGACAGGTTGATATTCCCCGGTTAGGTAAAAGGACACCCTCTAGAGTCAGACCAAAGACCCCTTCAATAACAAGTAGGAGGAGAACATACAGTGACTTAGACTATCCAAAGGAGAGAAGGGAATCCACTGATAGCGGGTCAAATGAGAAAATCCTCAACAATTCTATCAATAATATTTCAAGCAGTCAGGATTTGGCTCCAAACATCTTACCAAACCTTGCTAGTGCAGTGGACACAGGATCAAGAGCTCGGAATTTCTCGGCTACAAGCAACGCTTCAAATGGTAATGGAGATCATATAATGTTCAATAACTTGGGTGACACCCGGTCTCTAAATATTACCGGTTCCAGAGACAGCTTGACCAACATAAGCTCGTTTGGATCAACAAGTAATATTGACAACATTAGCTATAGTTTACCCGACATATCTGAGTCTTCTTATGAGGAGAAGAAGACAAACAAACAGCGTAACGATGATCTACCATCGACTTCATCTATGATGTCATCGCCTACATCAAATTTAGCTGATCCTCTGGGGGATTATGGTTCAAATAAAGACTCGTTCAGCACTGCTACGCTGAGAAAACCTATTAATTTGACCAACTTGAGTTTCAATAATGAGGACTCAAGTGCTCGAAAACGTAGTTCTATTGAAAGCCCTGGGTCAAGTAATTCGGGTCATACAGATGGTGTCACTGCACCAGACCAATCGAAGATCAACTTTAACGGTTCTCCCTCTGGTAGTTCAAAACAGACGATAGTTGATGACAAGGGCGTACCTCAGTTTCCAGAAGTTAATGTGGATTTGAATCCGTCTGAGGATACAGATAACAACAGCTCAGAAGTCGTCTCAGAACCGAATTTTGTTATTGAGGATAGCAGCCTGATCGCTCTCGATACGCCGATCGTTCCGGAAGAACCAGACACTTCATCTGCTACAAACGAGAAAGACTCCAGCACAGGTATAGAAATAACAGAAATTTCTGATGATACTGTTCCTGAGATTATTATTCCAGACAATGTTGAAGTAGATTCTCATGTCGACATGGACAGGAATATCTCTGTCGATCTTAGTATCAAAGATGAAGTCAAGAACGAGATATCGAAGGATGTCGAGGGCAAGCACGATGATGAATCCCAAAATCCTGACCTGACAGAAGTTACCTCCGGTCCAGTTTTTCAAGAAGCGAGATCTTCCAACGGGGGTAAGAAAGGAAAGAAAGGCAAGAAAGGGAAAAAGAAGAATAATGTGTGCTCCTTATTTGATGTTGCTTCCGAAGATCATTCCAATCTTAAAGACAGTCAAGTAGTTGAACCGGCATCTGGAAAAAAGAAAAAGGGTAAAAAAGGAAAGAAGGGTAATAATGCTAGTCTCAACATTGTCTCCTATGATTTGGTTGAAGAACCACTGGCTCCTTCAGTCCCAAATCTTCCTGACGAAGATGAAACTTCTCCAGTTTTGGATGAAGTTAAATCTCTTGACCGTGTACAAAGGGTTCCCCGGGAAGTTGAAGGTGCCGACCATGATGAAGATCGGCGAAGTACACCAGATAATGTAGAAGTAGATTCTGGTAATAAAATCGATGATCTAAACACAATTGATGGTGGCAATGTACCCTGTCAGGATATAGAGATGAAGCAAGATGACGTTAAAATACCAGATGAATCTTCGGAAACGGAATTCCCAACACCCAAAATATTGCTCACTGTACCAATAGCCGAGCAAAGAGCATCCGTTGGGCCTGAGGAGAGAAAGATCGTTTTTGAAGCCAGGAAATGCGAAAGAAGAATGTCAACTGGCGATGAAACATTTGAGTCCTCCCCTTCAGATCTTCCCAGAAAACGGGTCCCATCTTGCCAATCTACTCTGTGGTGGGACAATAGAAAGCAGCTGCAAGGTTTAACACCAAGTCCTCAGAGAAACAGTAGAGATCATTTGGACAGCGAGATTCGTGGTGATATCAGCGAACCTGCGGCTTTGAATTATGTATCTGATGGCATAATGGGGATTGATTCTCCTTCAACTGAAACCGATTTGGACGAAGTCAAACCGGCCTCACCAGCTGTTGAAATTGGAGAAATGAAAGAAGACAAGAGTTCAGTTACTGGCCCTTCAAGTAATGTCATCATTGCTCCTGGACCACGTTTTGAACAGCATCCACCAAAATGCAAGAAGAAGAAAGGGAAGAAAAACAAGAAGAATAACAAGAATGCTTCAGTACCAGAACCGGCGCCACGTGTTCAGCCGAAATTCCCTCCGGGCGATCATGGCTCACTGAACAAACTGTCGACCGCTGAGAGTTCAAATATAACTACAGAGGATTCATCAAAACTAGACCTTTGCAACGATCCTACAAAAGACATACTTCATAATGTAAATTTGGAGTTAGATACTGAAAGCATTAAAAATGTAGTTACCGATAGCAGTCTTCACGATGTTCCTGTCATCGAAAGCAGACCTTCAGACTTGGAGGGACCAAGGCATATGGAGCCCATATCTCTTGTTGATGAAACTGAAAACAAGGATCCAGAATATTCTACGCCTTCAGCGCCTATCGATTTGTCACCTTCAGTGCCTATCACTCAAATTGAAGACAATTGCGAGGATCTCAAAAAGAATAACGATGAAGCATTATCTCCCAACGTACAGAGCCCCAAGCACGATGAAGGTGCTGCTGATTTAGGGAAGTTTCAGGTGAAGAGTAAGAAAAAGAAAGGCAAAAAGAACAGAAAAGCTGTCATAAATTATGATTTTAAGGAGCCAAATAATGATGGTTCCGGTTGCAACGAAATCGATGGTGCCCCAACACTAACAATACCATCATCTTCAGAGTTTGTTGAGAACTTAACTGAAGAGCCTTCTGCAAAGCAGGTGCACGGTGAATTTGTTATAACTGAGGATGGGAACCAACCTCATGATGAAGCATCTTCCAAAAGTGATCTTATTAATGAAGTTGCGCCTTTAGTGATTGATCCCGCAAACATCAGCAAAACGGAGACAATACCTCCGGACAACTTCGAAAACGTTCCCGGCCACATGGAAATTCGTGAAGATAACAAGGAAAGAGAAATTGCTGTCGAACTTGAGGATGCTGCTCTAAAAATACCTAAGGTGACCACTCCATCGGAAGTTGAAACACCCGCAGATAATACTGATGAACCACTTTCAATTATTTCAGAAGCTGTCGTGGAGGTCATGTCTGGTAAGAAAAAGAAAAAGGGGAAGAAAGGGAAAGGTAACAAGAATTCTGACTTAACTGAAGACTCGCCCAATAACATTCCTGCATCAAAGGGTAAGAAAAAAGGAAAAGGCAAGAAGAATAAAAAGAAACAGGCTATTCACAATCTATCAGATGAGGATGATTGTCAAGCTGCACCAATAGAATCTCAAGTAACGAACGATTCTGCTGTGCCTTCTGTCAATGAAAACAGTGTGATCATACTCGAGGCGAGTCAAAACCAGGAAACTGAACAGTCTCATGCTGAACCTGAAGAGCTTGTTAAATTCTCGCTAGATAGTGAGCCAGTCCATGTTCCTTACGAAGCCAGTGAAACAGATACTAGCCACAAATATGATGCTACTAAAAACAACATCATCTCATGGGCCGAACCCAAGTCACCAAAAGCTACAGACGTATCTGAGGTTGAGGAGTCAGTTCTCTTTGTTACAGATAAACCTGGCAACATTGACCTTGACTCTTCACCTCCTCCTAACAGAGACAGAAGAGAGAGCAATGTACAAGGAGGCCGAAAGAGCCGAACTCCAGATTATATCCCGAGAAATCCTCCTAGTGATGGACCTGGTGATGGATCTGATAACGGAGATTTCAGGCGGCGAACACTTTCTAGTGACTCTACGATGCCTTATCCTCGAAAACCGAAAAGGTATTCCTCACTCAACCTTCTACCTCCTTCAGATTTGATGGGGAGAAGTACAAGTTTTTCTCCCGAAGAAAGATATCCTCAAGTTCAAAGCAGCCGTGAGGTGTTTGATACTCCTAAGCGGAAGAAGGCTATATCATTCGGCATGGCAGAGGAGAGATCTCCGAGGTTAGATTTTGTAAAACCAGCAGCTAATCAAAGTGGTCCACCTGTTATACCTTTTAGGTCGACTGGTTCCCCTTCAAATACATCTATGTTTTCGAGCACAGACATTCCGCCTGTGAACATGCAGAGAACCAGATCGCAGTCTGATAATGATGTGCCAATGCTTAACTTCCGGGAAGATAAGAAATCTGGCACTGAAAAGTTCAAGAGTTGGTTGTTCGGAAAAGTCAAACCTAATCGCCGTAAATCACCTTCTGAAAGCGATTGCCAGTCAAATCTGCAGAGGTCACCAAGGTTAGAGCAGAGACCCTTCTTACACATTTCAAACGTTACTGTCGTTAACAATTCTAAACTATCTCTAAATGGAAGTTTAGCTGAAGAAAATGAAATTGTGACTGACGGCCCATCAGAGGTTACACTATCTCAATCTCTTCTTATTCCGGGTATCAAACTGGAAAGACCCAATTCTCTCACTCTAGAACGACCATCATCTTACTCTGGGCGAGCTGTGTCACCAATGGACAGTGATGTTACTCCAAAACCGATCCAGAAAACACCCTCAGCAAATGATATCCTTTGCAGTAATACTGCCTACACAAACTGGCTTAATACTCTTTCTGCAATTCAGGATGAAAAACCAGGTTCTGTTCGCAATCTTCTCAATGTACCCAAACCCCCTTGTCACCGAAAAACCCATTCAGAAGGTCGGCAAATTGATGTAACCTTTATGAAAGACTTGTCACCTGTGTCTCCAACGGAGAGTAAACCTCCTACTCCACCTCCGTTCGCATCAACTCACAGAGTATCCTCAAGACCTCGAGTGAGATCAGCTATACAAGCCTCTGAAGAACACAAGACAAGCCCTCTCAGTGACGCTAAAACACCATCAGCTAACGACATAGACAAATCATGGACGGGCCTTCTTAAGTCTTGGATCGTAGACAATTCAGGATCTCAGAGTAAGATTAAATCGTCTAATGATGTTAGAAGACAGAATTCTCCTAAAGCGAGACGTCGAGGTTCTGAGATTATAGAGACCGAAATCACATTCCCAACTGAAGTTAGCGCATCACCAAGGTTATCTCGGATTGATCTTTCAAGTGATAATCGGTCTCGAGAAAACAGTAAAACAGATAGTTTCTCTGGTGTTTCTGCTGGTTTAATAAGTAATAATGACTTTTCAGCTGACATCGACTCATTCCTTGAATCTGAAATAGACAAACTGAAAGATTCTTACGTCCCACAAAAACCCTCAAAGTCTAAGAAGAGAACTAAGAAATCTAAACGGAGATCTAAAGATAAGGAAGTGGGCACACCAACTGTTGATGATTATGATCACGTGCCAAACTGTCCAGGTGATGATAGTGAGGTTTCAAGAGGTTTTTATGAGGACAAATCATATACCAAAGACAGCGAACCTTGCAAGTTCAACCCGAATGCTCGTTCATTTGACGATGGGATTGTGGAACCTGATGGAGTCTCAGCCGAATATATTGAGCCCAAAGAATCTTTACCAGAGAAGAAAATATCTAAATCTCACAAAGATTCTTCACAAGAGAAGAACCCTAAACCCCACAAAAAGGTTGTCGACGACGAGTTGGATGACACAACCTCGATTAGATCATTCAAATATGATGATGGTTTTCATCGGGGTCAGTCTTTAACAGTTAGCAGTTACCTTGATGGTGCTCTTGATCAATTAAAATCAAGGTCGGTAACGAACTCCAGTTCATCTGGCGGAGGATTTCCTGAACAACCCGGTAATGCAAGGCATTCTGCATCACCAGTGAAGGGTAACTTTGCTCTAAGTGTTGATGGGAACCAGGGAGGAAAACATGGAAGGCATGCTAAGGGATCATTTTTGACCCCAGATCGTAATTTAAGTGATGACGGCGATGCGTTCAAGGCCAGGACAAGTTCTGGATTTAACCCATCGTTTGAAAAATCCCCTAGTGTTGAAATGTTAAAGGTAATTAAATCACCTAAAAGGATAAACGAATCTGCTTGCTTCATTCCTCTTGACCTGAATGTGACTCCACCTCAAAAACCAAAGCGCATGATGAGATCCGCCACGATAACCTCTCCTAAATGCAGAAACGACATCGAGAGTGATAATGATGACGTTTTTATCGCCCCAGAGACTGTTCCTGTTACCAATAAGTCACATTCTGAGAGTGAACTTAGTGCTCCTGAGAAAGATAACGGGCGGTTATCTCGAAAACTCCTGTTCCCTCGCTGGGCAAGGCGTAGATCGAGGTCTGAGTCTAACCATGGTCCTGACGGGAGGTCTCATAAAAGTAACAATGAAACGTTTGGTATTCTAAATGCCTCAGAGCTGGACATGGTTATGACTCCCAAGAAAAACTTTCAAGTGTTCAAACTAGCCGATGGAAGGGAGATTAAGTACGACATGGACACCAAAAAAGAAACTGTCATCAGTAATCCTAATAACGTTGTGCAGGAACCTCATCCGGAGTTCACACCTACATCGCTACTCCCTGTGTTAGACCAGCTTGATAGAATACAGTCAACATTCGATGATTTGGCTCTTTGCATAGCAGATTCTAATAAACCATCTGGATCTCAAGTCAGAAGAACTAATTCACTGCCGGGAGAGAGCTCTTTTGGGAAGTTTTCTGGAGGTAAAACTCCCCAAACTGATCAATGGGGTAAGGATATCGATCTTGACATGAAGGAACTAACTGATCTTATCAACAACTTTTGTCAAGATAAAGGCGATCAAAGAAACTCTGTTGAAGACATTTTGGACGCAATGGTGAGGTCAAAAGAGAGACATAGTGGTTCTTTTGGTAGTGCACACTCTGGCGACAGCTTCAAATCCATTTCTGCAGAAGAAGCACCTGTTGTTCATGGTTCTAGGATTGATAATACGAGAAGGAACCTTCTATCAATGCTAACGGATCTAAGCAAATCTAAATCAACCTCCGCCATCAATACATCAGCTTCATCGTCGTCCGGTAATCCCTCTGCTCGCTCAGAGACTGATTTATCAAACCGTAATCGTGATGTGTTAACTGATGGAGGCATCACTGCCACGGTAGCTGTAGCACCAATAACTGCGGCAACACTCACCATTCCAACAATACTTGTTGAGCCTCCGTCGAAGGGTAAGACAGACAAGGGTAAAAATAAAGGATTGTTTGGAAACCTTAAAGCAAAGAAGCACCACACGAGCGACAAGGACTTGTCTGAGCAAAAATATCGTAGAAAACGAGCGTACAGTGATTCCAGGGCATACGAAAAGGAAGAGAAGATTGGATTCTTTGAAAATCTTAAATCTAAAAAGTATCATGAGAGTGATGAATTCAAATTAGATGAAAATGGGTTTTTGGCTCATGTCATCAAGACTAAAGAATTTCATAAAAGTAGTGACTGGATTGGTCCAAAACCGAAAATTCAACGAGGATTCACAAATGCTCTCATTAGAGATCCTTCAATTCCTCAAGATGATCGAAGGCCTTCTGAATATATCTTGCTTCATGATGGGCCTCCTATGTATCACAATCAACGTCCCCATCGGCAGATCATGCTAGACTTAGACAGTGACCCAATACAGAATTATTATGAAGACCGAACTCTCTATGATAATCGGTCTCTTCCAAAACAGAAGATTAATGACCAGCGTGTTGATGACAAGTATGCGACCCTACCAAAGGGCCGGGGTCGGAACATGAGTATCACCCCTCCAGATGATCATTCACTATGGGGGAGCAGCCAGATCAGTGAGCAACCAGATGCATCTCTCCGGCGGACTAGATTCAATAGTGACTGTCAAAATAACAATCGACCAATCCCCTCTAGACAGAGAAACTTCAGTGATCATACATTGCATGATATTCAGTCTTTACCCGATATTCCGGGTCTCCAAAATGTCCCCAGGTCAAGGAATAAATCATCTGCCAGCAACTTATCATGCATCACTAGCCCAGCAAGTGACGTCAGTGGTTTCTCGGACATAGATTCTCTTCCTAATGTTCCTGATCATCCTATGCCTGAAATCCTAAAATCACAAATGACACGCCCCGACTTCCTTCCCTTGATTCTTACAGATACAGAGTTAGACGAAGTATTCTCATCGATAAGAGAAACAGATGAAACAGAGTCAAAGAACACTGAAAGTAGCAGTCGGCCAAGTACCTTGCCAGTTACATCCACTCCGAGACGCCCTACAAACCTTAAATTAACAACTTCTCCTGAGGAGGGTCCATTCTTTAATTTCGGTAGTGCTTCGAGCGAGAGTGCTCCAGAGACTCCTAAAGTGTCGGAAGAGGAAGGTAGTCTGAAAGAAACTGAAAGTGTTAAAATGGCTGAGAGTATAAAAGACTCTGATAGTCAGAAGGAGAAAACTATCTCCCATACAAGCCTCAAAAGCTCCTCTAAGTCTGACGATGTATATTTACTACGGTCAAAAATTAGAGACTCTTATGGGAAAACTTCGAGTGAAGGCCATACATCACTTGGTGATAACCGACCTGTTGCTTTAGTTGACGTTGCCAAAGCAGACTCTGAAGATACAGTTTTCGTCTCTCGATCTGAACTCGGACCTGAGTATGGCGTGGATACAGATAAGTCGTACGGTATCTCTCCTACTGGAAGCCTTAGTGATGAGACGATGGACAACATCACCATGCTCCTAAATATTGAAGCAAGGCTCAATAAGCTGTCTTCTCCAGTCAAGGACGATCAATCAGAAGGAGAGCACAGCCCACTAAAGTATGATGACAGCAGCAGCAGCAGCAGCTCTCAACAATCACCAGCAGGACAGGTTTCCATGGGGTTTCAACCGGAAATGTCCCCAGGTGGGATTAATTCTATATCTGCTGATCGGGATTCCCCTATCACTTTCTCAGCAACTGAGAACATCGAGAGCACTGATTCAAAACCTTATTACAACTTGTCGTATGTTAACGATATTTCGTTCAATGATTCCAATAATGACAGCTTCAAAGCATCAGTTCCTTGCTCTGATCGGCAGGGTCTCTCGCTAAACCTCGATAGTTCGAGTGATCAACTAGACTCCTCAGTTCAATCTGACAATATCTTCGTTTTGAGGGAGGAGCTTGGTAGTAGCTATGGTGGAGACCTGTCAAATGCATCACCCTCTCCACAAAACTCCATTGGTAGTCCTTCTCCGTCAAAGACAGACTCCTCTAATAGTCCCACAGTTTCAGAGTTCTCTAGAAACTTCATCTCCATATCTAAGGAAGAAGGTGGAAGTGAGGAGTTCTTCTTACCATATTCTGTCTACGACGACAGTCCGGACCCAGCACTAACTTCAGTTGATATACATGAGGACGATTATCAGACCATCCATAAGCTTTTGAATGAGATTGAAGAAGATGGTGCTCCTGAAGACCCACTTGACAGAATACTACGGAGATCCTCCATAGAGTCAGCTTCAAGTTGTGCAACATTCCATTCAGGAATAGAGTCTGACAGTAATTACAACTCTGTAGAGGAAGACGTTGCCTCAGAGTTTGAAGAATTTGATTCTCAAAGGTTCCGATCAATGCCTAATCTGCCGACTCTTGAAGGTGCCCGCTGTGACCTCAAACAAGCTGAGAGTATTCTGTCCATAGGATCCAACATCAGTTGCAGTGGGCTGTATTCAGAGGACGATGACGCTAGCCTACCCAGTCAGATCACTGACACGACCATCACCGAGGCTGAAGATTATGCACCTCATTTCGTGCTCCTATCATCCTGTGAGCGTATTGATGAGATGGATTATGAACAAAACGTCGATGATGACGAAATTCCACCTGGTTATCAAGTTATTGAGTACGGCGCTACTGGCGTTTCAATATTCCCTGAACCATCAAGTGATGGTGAAATAAGTTCTGCTGAGGTTGACGGCTTTCAACTTAACAATCTATCAGGACAGAAGACATCAGAACTGTCGGGAAGTTTAGAGATTGATATCGCAGAAAACTGTGAGCAAACTGTCGGTGACGTCAATACCGAATTATGTCACGTGCGATCTTTAGACCTTGAAAACAGTAAAATGGATGGTCTTATTGTGGAAGACGTGAGCGACTCAGTCGAAAATATTTCCTGCCTAACACTTTCGACTTATGAAATATTCGACTCTGAAGATATTGATGATGTTGAACACCTATCTGTCACTGAAGAAATGGTGGAACCAAAGCTGGCTTTGTTCGATGCTAGAGTTGCAGGCGTTTCAGCCGCTAGAGCTAGACCCATTGAAGAGAAATACAATACCTCACCTTTTAAGATCGTGATTCCATCAAGAGATGAGATTCTGTCACCTGTCAGCGAGTACTTTACAGATGTAGATACTTACTACACTTCGGCAGATGATGATGTGACATCTGCACAGGAGGAGGATTGCTTTGATTTGTCGGATCTGGAGAAACATGACGGAGATAGTGAGCCTGATCACGAGTCTGCAGCAGCTGATGAAACTACCATGTTTGACTTTCACCGTGATAGTCTTGTTGAAGAAAAGGCTCCTTCATCTCCTCACGCTTCTCTGGTATCACTGTCTACAACTGAGTGTGCACTATCTAGCCGGGAGTCAGTTCTTGCCGAGGAGGAGTTATGTGACTCAACAGCGCTTAACAGGATCATGAATACCAAGATAAACAAACTGGATGAATGTATGGCTCAGGAGGGGTTTGAAGCTGTGTCAGAACCTGTTGTAGACTCGTTCAACACTCATAAATATGAAAATGTCGAAACGTTGGGGTACTACATTGTTGGAGATCTCAATAGTGATTCCAGTTGTGCTGAGTCACGAGATGATATCGAGGATCCAAACCAATCTTCATCGTCTGGATTTAATCAGAACGATTCCTCCTGTTCGGATGAAATTACCCATCTTGGGTCTAGATCTGATGTTGACACTTACTATACGTCAGCGGATGATGACAAGGCTTCGATTCTTGCAGATGATTGTATTGAACCATCTCCAAGCCCAACAGAGATACCGGATTTTTACTTGGTTGAAGAGGATGCTCTGTCACATTCAGGGTCGCTGACGAGTATGATATTCGATGACAGGTTTGATACTGATGACCTGAGTGGAATAAGTGTGGTAGAAGAAAAGATCAAAGTGACCACTTCCTCGCTCATGGATTCGAAGGTACAGTCATTGCTCAAATCACGGGGAAAACAGTCAGTACCATCAGATAATGAAAAAACAGACGACAATCTTCTCAAAGAAGAGGCTATCAGTATCAAACCTAGCAGCTCCTGTCTTTCACTTTCTACAGCTAGCTATTACGGATCTGTTACTACTCTCGACGAGATAGCAGTAGAAGAAGAATGTATTGAGTATAGCTCCTCTGTATTTGATGCTAGAGTTGAGAAGCTGATCCGAGAAAAGAATTACACCAGGCTCCTGGATGAGTCTGAGATCAGTGTTCATCTTGAAGGTTATCATGAAAATTATTCTCGTGAAAATCCTCGTGGCAGCAAACAAAGTTTGGCATCACCTCATTCTGAAGATGGCTACATATTGACAGATGCTGACACCTATTATACCTCAGCTGATGATGACAGAGCTTCTGTTCTGGCAGATGATTGTATTGAACCTTTAGATCCGGCAGTATTACTGGATCTTGAGTTGATGGAAGTTGATGTTTCGTCAGATTCAGAGGAAGTTTCAAGTATTGTGTGCGAGGACATGGTATTCGATGATCTGTATGATGACAATCACGAATCTGTTGAAATAATCGTGGAAGAAGACATCAATGTAGATACTATGTCCTCATTCATGGATTCAAAAGTGCAGCTCTTACTCAAATTTCAAGAGTTAAAATCGTTGCAGTTAGATGCAGGGAACAAAGCCACCGACGGTGGACTTCTTGAGGAACACTGCAGTACCGGGCCTGGTAGCTCTTGTATCCCAGTTTCAACGGCTAGCTACACGGAATCTGTTACATTGCTTGATGAGATTGACGTCGAGGAGGAGCTTTTTGAGCGTAGTTCCTCTGATTTTGATGGTAAAGTGGAACAACTTCTTCAACAAATTGACAACAACGAAATTCTTATGGGACCTAAAATCCGGGTTGCAGTTGATAACGACCAGGCTGATGAACAAGGTCGTGACAGCAGGCATAGTGTTGCAGTTGATACCGATCAGGCTGATGAAGAAGGTCCTGACAGCAGGCATAGTGCGTTATACCCTCCGAGCGAACTTGGAGATGGATACGTGATGACTGATGTAGACACTTATTACACGTCCGCCGATGATGATTGTACCTCGGTGCTTGCTGACGATTGTATAGTTTGGACTGATGACAACAAAGAAGTCTCCAGTACCAAAGGGAACTTATCGTGGCCTTCGTCAGCTGATGACTCCGCTCAGAGTTCTGATGAAGATGTTGTAGATTACAATTTTGAGGACCAAACGTTTGTTGACGAAGAACAAAGCAGTTCTAATGAACAAGTAGGTTTGCTTATTGAGAGTGCAGCTAGCTCCGATGGAGATGAAGATAAGCTCAATATACCTACTCAAGAATTCCTTTGTTTTGAGTACGATCAAGAAGAAGTTCCACACGTTGTATCGGAAGTTAGCGTCACTGACGAGTCGGTGATGTTACGAAAAGTTAACAATTTACTCCAAACCATAGTTCCTAGTGGAGATTCTACAAATCTTAACCTCTGTGAGGAGTCCGTAGTTGATGTGACTGGCACTAAGAATAATTCTGATGAAAAATACCGCGGCAACGAACAAAACATAGCTTCGCACTCTCAAGATGACAGGCATGATATATCCAACTATGTGCTAACAGATGTTGATACATATTACACTTCAGCGGACGATGACTACCCTTCTGTCCATGGTGAAGAGTGTATCATCTGGTCAGGTCCCTCTCTGGAGGACTGCCGAGTTTACGAGTTAGCATCCTCTGAAAACGAGACTGTTTTTGAGGCAGTTGTCCAGGGAGAAGAGGAGTCTTGTTATGAGATGTGTGAGAATGGAGGTTGGACATGGTTTGGGCTGGATGAAGATAGCTTGGTTGTGGAAGGTGTAGGAAGCTCAGATGACAATGAAGGAACTATCTTATCAACTGAGGAATACTTTAGCTCTGGAGATGAAGATGGGTCTATTCGGGCTGAGTGTAAAATACGGATCAGGGATGATACAGTAATGTGGAGTAAAGTCAACAGCTTGATAGAAGATCGGATATCAATACACGAAGAAGAGTTCGAGTCTGCAGCAGAGTTAGAGTTTGTCGTAGAAGACACCCCTGAAATTTATATCGAAGATGAACCGTACACTGTCTCCGAATTTAGAATAGCCTCACCAAATGACGACTCTTCGTTCGAACTTCTAGAATTGTCGACTGTAGAGCTGTTAGAGGTCTCTGATGGGCAGGAAATATGCCGAACACCTGACCTCTCTACTTACAACCCAGCTGAACAGAAAGTGATCCAGACTGATGCAGAGACATACTACTCCTCCCCTGATGACGACTGTGCTTCACAAGGTCATGAAGATTGTCTGGCTGATAGTGCTCCTGTTGATAGTATCAACCTACGTTTTGAGGGTATACCAACTACTGTTTGCTTGCCTGATCTCGGGTCTGTTGCTCTCAATCTCTCTCAAAGTAACATTACTGACCTCCCATCTCCAGATTCCGACTTGACTCCAATGAATGCTCATGATCCGGAAAAGACGCCGATGATTGCTCGAAGGTCTTTTGACGCTCCAATGAATGCTCCTGATCCGGAAAAGACTCCGAAGGTTATTCGAAGGTCGTTTGACAATACCGAAAATCTCAGCGATGATAGTGACAGCGACCCTTTGTCAACATCTCCCCAATTCGAAGATATAGTCAAGCTAAACCCAACGTTCATTATCAAAGACGAGTCAGACTCATCAATGGTGATGGTTGATATAAATGACAATAATCCGGTCTCCGAAGCTTCTGCTATACCAGTTGAAAGAGATCACTGTCAACAGTTTCTATTGGAATGCCATTACAGCTCAGCCAACGAAACAACTCACTCGGATGGTTTGACAGCATACATGAGCTTTGAAAATCTACCAACTGAGAGGGCTAGCAGTTCAGCTTCACAAGAATCACTTACTAAGATATCAGCTCTATCAAGTGGTAGTAATTCCAGCTTACCAATTGACAGTGATGTTGAACAAGTTCAGCTATCTAGTGTTGATATCAGCTCACCTAAACTGGTTGAAGAAAAACGAGTTAAAAAGTTCCGCAAGAAACGGAAGTCTTCTCAGAATTGTCCAGCAGTCCAAGATTCCACCACAAGCCAAGATGAGCACTCTGACTATGTTTACGTGGAACGACCTAGACCTGGCAGTCACAAGAGAGCTGCAGCTGTGGTAGAAGTGACTGATGTGCCGGTAGTGACAGTTGAAGTGAAAGAGGAGCTCACAGTTTCACCTCCAAAGGAAACACAGATTGCTCTGGAGGTGGAAGAGGTCCCTCAATCTCCTTCTAAAGACATTATTGCGCTGAATCTGAGTTTGGAACAGGATAGCTTCGAGCAACTAAAGTGTGCAGCTTCTGAAACCCCGATTAGTATAAGGCGAGATAGTCCTAGTGAGGGTCAGTCAGAACAAAAAATGGAGAGCGATGGTTCATCCGAACCGGCCAAGATCGTTACAATTGATGTTGCTGACAAATTATCTGAACAATGCTGTTCGAAGGTGACTGAGGGAAATACTAAGGGGTCGCAGATATCTGAAGAGTCGGACTTAGAGTTTCTTTCTGTCCTCCACGGACTCAAACCAATTCCTAAATCAGACTTTTATGAGGTCAAACGGACAGTTAGCCCCATTAAGAGGAAACCGTCCAAGCGACACATGCAATCCTGGGCTCGACACCTTCTAAGTGAGAGAACTTCCTCTCCCGAATCCATAACCATGGAAACTGTCGATGCCACTGAGGCCTCAGAAATCTTAGTTGCTCTTAACCCTTTGGAAACCGTTGTAGCCACTCCAGTTGAATCTCTTCTTCAGTCATTCTCTCCAGCCTTCTCTGGTGGTACTTTCTCTAAACATCGAATCCTATCTAGTCCCAGAACTAATTCGACTTCCGACAAGGCAGTAGAGCGGACAGCAGATGATGAAATCGAGGGAATATACTTCAGTGGAAAATCTTTTCCAATCAAAGCCAACAAAATTCAAACCGCTGGACTGTCTTCTGTATTGTTTGATGACAAATCCGAGCTATCAGACGTCGACGAGGATATGGAGAAATTTGAGGAGCAAATGTGTCGTGAAAACTTCAAAGCTGTGATGAATGAGCTCATATTCGCTGTTGGAATGTTCGGAGAGGGATCTCAAACTGAGTCCTCTCCTACATCTACTCCCCGGACTAAAGGTGAACCAACCGAACCCACTCCATCAACCTCTAACTTCTTGGACCTCTCCATGTGCGAATCGTCTTGTGACGAAATGGGGAGGGTACAAGAGGCTATACATCAGCAGTACTACAACCAGGTTGTCAAGGAGATAAAGGATTGGAGCTATGACCCAGAGTGTGAACTAGACGGCGACCATATAGCTGCTCGTCTTCGCAGTCACTCCGAACCATCGTCTTCAGAAGGAGAGAGACCACCAGACTGCATAGAGAGAGGTACTATGTGTGGGTCCGATACCGAGGTTTGTACTCCTGTTAAACCACCGGGACCTAAACTACCTCCTTGTCCTGACTCTCCGTATCAGAAGGCGCAGAGCTTGTCAGTTTCCTTGAAATCTCGAGATAAGAAGTTCCAGTCCAAGTTAAAACCGTGCAGGAACCCTGAATGTGACGCGTGTCAGAGGAGGAGGAAACGAAGGTCAGACCGCTGGAAGAACTGGAAGATATTGAACCAGGATGGTAATCCATGTGAAACGAACTAGATTTGAGATTAACCTATTTATTTATTGTCTTGTAACTTGATATTATGAAGCGTAAGCTCCAGATAAAAACTTATTGTATTGAGAAAATCGGACACTATTTCCTGTTTGTTGGTTGGCAATTTTAGATTTAAGATTTAAAATAAAAGTTAATAGTTGTATGTGTCATAAAGAAGGAGGTTTATTGCTACATATCTGTTAATTGTCCCAACTGGTATTATAGAACATTATTTCATACTTATCTGCTTATTTTATCACAGATAATAAACTTCATAGTTTCAATTAATTCTCGAACTGTACGGATTTATATTGCATTGATAGCTAGGTATTTTTTCAGATATTTCTCAGAATTCTATCCTTACCAGATGTGTGAGTTTAATAAAGTAAATCTGGCATGTTCATTGCAGTCAGTTTCATTATATTTGTTTCAATTTGCTAAATTATTTGTACGGAATTTTGTAAATATGTTCAGCGTGTTTCTGCGTTCAAGGAATGCTTGCTTTATGGTATTTCCATAATAACTTTTTATTGCTTTCCAGATGAGGTAGTTTATAAGAATAGTGGTATATTACTATTACATGTACTAGTTTTTAATCAATTTCAACAGAAACTTAATCGAATTCCATTATTGATTCCAATAAAACTAAATGATTACTAAGTTAAAATAATGTTTTTTTTCAAAACTCACAACATCTTATCAATATCATATATCAATACTTTATCATACAAACACAACCAAAGAACATAATTATGATATTATACAAAGTTAAAAAATGCTGCATCATGATATTGAACAGTGAACACAAAGTACAAGGTCCATGAAAACTGCTAGATTCCCTGCTATGGTCATGGCATGAGGAGCATCCCAGGGTCATGAATTTAAATAACACCTGATTTAAATGATATTCTTATAATTCTCCAAACTTGAATAATAGGTGAGTCCCACACGAGTTATGGCACAATTTTGAGGTTTTTACCTTATTTACCATTCAAGTACTGAGTGCCCCTGATAAATGGGGTGAAAATGAGCATTGCTCTTTAAACAGCTATTGCTTGTAAAGAACCCATAACAGCCCCATCATTTCCAAGACGGCAATCACTGACAGTTTAAATTACATATACCCTCGGCAAAGAACAACATTACACGGATATGTACATCTTCATATCTTGTAGATATTATCTACTTTCTCCTCAGCTTGGCTATAAGGTAGCTACTCGTTCAATAGGTTTTACAATTGTAGTTCTATCAGTATCGTTATCCATTATTTGTTCTTTTCTATCGCTTCTTTGATAACTTCCTTTTTAGCACCGTACACCTACAGAAATATTCGTTAGAAGTTTATACCAATCACAATATCACTGTCAAAATATGTAGAAACATGTCGAACCTGAATCATTGTCTTAAATATGTCTAAATCTATCTTAAATCTGTCATAATGGCAGCAGTTACTGTATGTAAGTAATACAGCTGCCAGCCTCCCTCGCCCGCCACAAATACAATATGTGTCTGAAATCTGAGAACTTAACCCGCAGGGCTAATCGATTTGTACTTTATTTTACAATGAAACGGATTTCCCTAATATCCTCTAATTCCATGTAGTTATAGATGTGGATTCTGGTGGGGAGGCATATTATTCGACACGTGACAGTGGCCCTGGGGTTTGATTCGTAAATAGTAGAATCTGATTGGTTATTTGCTGTCACTTGTCAAAAACATATGCCTCACATCCCCACCAGAATCCTAATCTACAGGATTACAGTACTGAGTAATACTCTTACCACGTACAATGTATGCTGGACTAGTTGTTAGTTGTAAGCGGAATGTGTGAATTATTCAGAGTGATGAGAGCTCTTATCAGAAACATAGGGGAACCTCTGGTTTAATGTTTTAACTTTATATATGATCCGGGTTATTTAATCGCATGCGGGTTTATCGGACATGTGTGATGTGAGAAATTAGAAAAATTTGAGAAATATGTGAGAAATGTGAGAAATGAGGAGAATAAGTCGTACCTGTTCAATAACCTCTCCTCCTTTGTACAACTGGAACGTGGGCATTGACTTGACTTTGCAGATCTCTGCCGTCTGGCAATTCTCGTTTACGTTTATCTGAAAGGTAAATTGGTAATACAAAATAATTTAGCCCGGGAGTTTAAAGGTCATCTGGAATAACATACAAAACTCTCGACAACTGATCCATTAGTTATTGCAACTTGATTAATCTGTGAATAAATTAACTAATTGACCAGTTAGTAAATAAGCTAATTAAATAATTGATCAGTTAGTAAGTAAATTAATTAATCAATTGATCAGTTAGTAGTAGAAAATCTTTCAAAGTACGAAATATCTCTTTAAAAGAGCATCCTAGGCACCTTATAGATATCAAAACGCATAAAAAAGAAAACAAAACATCAACCATCTTCTAACTTCTTCCACTCCTCCCTTTCTAAAGCTAAAAATCTAAGGTCTTCGAAATCAGTCAAATTCTTAAGTCTAATATCAAGATTTCTACTAGTCAAGTCTTTTCTAATAACATCTAATAAGTTTAAACATGGTCTACCCCGTCTCCCTTCCATAAAAATATCAGAATTTATAGCAAATAACATAGAGGTGTATGCTGGTGAGTCTTCCTGTCCTCTTAAGATATGTCCTAACATTCTCCATCGAAACTTAGAGACTCTCACAGACAAGGGAGTGACATAACAACGAGCATAGAGTGCCTCATTAGAAATAACCCCAGTAGGCCATCTGATTGATCAGTTAGTAAGTAAATTAAACAACTAATTGATGAGTTAGTAAGTAAATTTAACAACTAATTGATCAGTGAGTATGTAAATTAATAAACTAATTAGCTAACTAATTAACTAATCACCTTATAAAAGAGTACGTCACCATTGTACTCTTTATTCCACCTCTCCACCGATGGAGCTATCATCTTACAGGGCTTGCACCATGCCGCATAGAAGTCTATCACTACCAATCTGGGGCGATAATTGTGTTAGTTGTAATTATATTTGTGAAACAACGTTCATTTAATATTGATGAGCACAAATAGATTTGGTTACCAATAATTGGACTTATGACGAGGCAGCAGTAACTATATTGGGTTTGCCAGCTGCCAGACGTTAAATTATAATCTCGTGAAAGTTCATAATTGGATGATAACTGGACCAAGAGGTAAAGCACTAACATAGTACCACAACATAGTGCCACAACATAGTACCACAACATAGTGTCACAACATGACATAGCGCCACAACATAGTACCACAACATAGTACCACAACATAGTGCCACAACATAGTGCCACAACATAGTACCACAAAATAGTACCACAACATAGTACCACAACATAGTACCACAACTTAGTGCCACAACATAGTACCACACCTTAGTGCCACAACATAGTGCCACAACTTAGTGCCACAACTTAGTGCCACAACGTAGTGACACAACGTAGTGCCACAACGTAGTGACACAGCGTAGTGCCACAACATAGTGCCACAACATAGTGCCACAACTTAGTGCCACAACGTAGTGACACAACGTAGTGCCACAACGTAGTGACACAACTTAGTAACACAACATAGTGCCACAACCTAGTGCCACAACATAGTGCCACAACATAGCGCCACAACTTAGTGCCACAACATAGTGCCACAACTTAGTGCCACAACATAGTGCCACAACGTAGTGACACAACGTAGTGACACAACGTAGTGACACAACATAGTGCCACAACCTAGTGCCACAACATAGTGCCACAACGTCAACATAGTGCCGCACTAAGGTAGCTAAGGACTTTTGAATAATTTACAGTGCATGGTGATAATGAGATTGATACAACTAGATACAGCTAATTCTCAGAATATTTACTCGATCTGGTAAGAAGAAGAAAGAAAATTGAATTTTCTTGGTCGATTTCTAAGATGGCTATGCATTTTTATTTTTAGTCGATTGCTAAGTAACAAACTTGTCCTAGTTGGTTGCTAGGATGGCTATAAACATATAAACTTACTTGTCCTAGTTGGTTGCTAGGATGGCTATAAACATATAAACTTACTTGTCCTGGTTGGTTGCTAAGATGGCTATAAACATATACACTTACTTGTCCTAGTTGGTTGCTAGGATGGCTATAAACATATAAACTTACTTGTCCTGGTTGGTTGCTAAGATGGCTATAAACATATAAACTTACTTGTCCTGGTTGGTTGCTAGGATGGCTATAAACTCCTCGTGTGTGTTTATCGGCTTCACCCCCTCGCTCATTTTGCCTTTATAAATGATAACCTGGTAGTTGGTATTAACAGAGTGCTCCGTACTGTTTATTACATCTTTCAAGTATAAATGAGCTCCTAGATCTCATCGATACAAATTTAAAATATACTTATAGTGGTGCAATGTGAAGTCTGAAGTTGAGTTACAGCAATATTATTAAAACAAAAGATCTGAAAACGAGCCGGTGCACGGTAACTAAAATCAGTATTTACAATTTTGTGGCTGAAACTTCCTCTGAACAATTAGTACACAGTCTATCGTAATGATTGCGCTCTGGTGGTTAATGTTGACATTTAATGCAATTAGAACAGCCAAAACCGCATAACCATAAGGACATCACATGACAATACAGACGACGAATAGTATAAATAATACAGACGACAAATAGTATAAATAATGCAGACGACATATAGAAAGATATTATAGTCTTAAACAATATCGGTAATACTAATAGTAATGAGTAATACATACGATTATATCAAGTGATGGGACTATTGACCGGGACTTGTCTGCACGGATCCAGAAAGCCTCAGGAGCATTCAATCAGCTCGGTAATATTTGGAAGAATCGCAATATCCAAACTAACACCAAAATACGGATATATGTTGCAGCGGTTCTAACAATATTACTTTATGGAAGCGAAGTCTGGAACACTACTTCAAAGCAACTACATCGCTTCGAAGTTTTTCATCAAAACTGTTTGAGGAGAATCCTTCGAATTAAGTGGTTCCACCGGACGAGCAATGTTCAAGTGTTGGAGCGGGCAAGAATAAACCCGGTTATAACCTACATCAGTGCCAACCGTCTTCGCTGGTTTGGACATGTTTCTAGAATGCCGGACACCAGGCTACCAAAGTATCTATTTGATTGGACACCTGCTCAGTGCTCACGGCCGAAGATCACGTGGGCGGCCAAGAAAGAATTGGCGAACCTGTGTCCTAGAAGACGCAGTAACATTCACAGGAGATCCAGAAATTGTATTTGATAAGGTCCGAGAGTTGGCAGGAAACCGAAAGCACTGGAGAGAGATGATACGACATAAGCGGCAATTCCTTGGTGCAGGCCACTCGAATGATTGAGGAGACCTTATCAAGTATCAAGTAAGTAATACATACGACAAAAAGAAAGATCGTTTTACAGTATTCTACAAGTACAATATTAAAATTAAAGGAAGCTTAAAATGAAGTCTCGTGATGCTCCGTACAATAAAAAAGACAAGACTATCTATAAATGTCGAGTACCACATTATTCAAAGTTAAGTATGATCGCTGCATGTGACGACCAACGATATCTTACTTTGTGTTAAGACTTTAAGAAAGGTCTCGGCTTTTCAAGCTTGTTCTTTGGTCAGAAATCAATCGAGATATAAATTTAAAAGTCTAAAACTTTGAATGTATCGATAGCTGACGATTAAGATTCGTTAAAATTTAAGATATCGTTGCGTACGTGGTGCTTTGATTACTTATAACTTTAAAAACACTCAACGAGAACATTTTCTGTCCATAAAGCGATAAGAAGTCGTGAGCGATGAAAAGCAATATAGTTAAACCTGAAATTCAATACGTGTTTCTTTTCAAACCTAACTGATTAAAGTGAAAGTTAATGTCGTAATAATGCTTAATAAGGAGGAGAACCCTGTAACTTATTCATTATGGCAATTAATTCTGCCACTGCAATAAGTGGGGAGGTGTAAAATTAAGTCAGGTAGTTTTGTTTCAGTTTTGCTAATAACTGAACTATTTCAGGCCCAAGTTTCGAAGCAAATTATAAAGTGATAGTAATTGTTGTTGCATAAATAGTGTCCGTAATTGTATGTCCTAATTATCGTCATTAGCACAGGTATCTTGAACCACGTACAATGTAAATTTACAAGCCTCAATTTTCGGGCCTTTCTGGGAGTTGACAAAAAATGTCCGGTTTATGGAGAGGCCTGATTGATAGAATATGATTCACATAATATGTTACGTTAAAAGTCTGACAAATTTGTACTATGTTTGTTGAAAGTGAGTTATTTTCACTAACAGCTGGTCAGTGGTCGGTTAAACTTAAACGAAATTATACGACGAAAAAGAGTTATTCTTCAATTATTTAATTTCGTCGTAGCGTATCATTTTGTTGAACAGACCGGCTGCTAATGGAAATAACTAACTTGCAACATATAATAATATTCTCAAGAAGTGTGTGTTACACTAGTCTGATAATATGCGGCTAATCATTCAACGTTGTACGACGTTCACGGACGTGCGAATCTTCACAACTGTATTAGTGTATAATGTGAATATCTGTTTGCTGTTATTCAAGGAATTCCGTCCAATTCAGTCTGAATGGAACGTTAATATCATTAACTCTGATTGATTATTGTGAAAAATTAACAAATCAAAAGAAGTGAACAGTCTCCCAAACACTAAAACAAATAAAACAAATAAAAGCCTCAGTAGCTCGTTTGAACTTTGAATTTGATCGCATTATCATGGAATTAGAACCAATGTTGTTTGAACAATGACTTGACGAACATGCCTCGTTTGAATTGTATACTAGCTAGGTAGTAGTAATAGGTATAATAATCAATAGCATTCCATTATTATGATTAACATAGTAGGGATAATAGTGCGGGCAATTAACAATTTAAATAGGTATTGAAAAAGTGAAAAGCTTAAGACCACGTTGAAGCCAAGAAGCTGAAATCCATCCTTTTGACATGCTGATATATATCACATCAGAAAACAGGAAACAGCTCGTCACACAAATTCAAAACAACAGACGTCCCCCCCCCCCCTGATAATCATCATCACACGAGTTACCCGATACTGCACACCCAGCCACTATATTAAAGTAATACGACACCGCAAAGATAGCGGGCTCAGATAATCTCCTCTCACTATATGACTATACCCAGTAGTGATGAGCAGTCGGCACTGCTCTGTGAAGACTTACAAGTATCCCAGCTGTATTTGGGTTACTGAAGACTGAAAACACTTGATCCCATTAAATGTTACATTCACACGTTCCCGTCTTCTTTTTCGGGGTTTTATTACGTGTTCTGGTGCTCCCACATCACCGCACTTCACTCTTCAGTTCTATACTAGCTACAGTGATCTTTACAGTGGAGATCTAGTTCTACTACTCTAATCATGATTACACTTACAGGCTGTAATGTGAATCACGATTAATTTAAAGCTCGTTTTCTTAAATTCAAAACAAAAGAGCTGACATTACTATCAAATAAAATTGCTCAAGAATTTTAAATAACAGACATGTTAGCAACGCCACACCAAAAATACTGAAAGCTTAATAATGTTCCAGTTAGATTGTTACGGCAGCAAAACGGCGAAGACCAAAGACCAAAATTCAACAGAGTTTAAAATTCATCAAAAAATTAATGAAATAAAACCAATAGTGCACTGTTATTTAAAACTTAGACTCTCTTTTATTTCTTCGTTTGCTGCGAGAAATAGTGTCCCAGTGATAAAAGTTATCAATACCCAGCGTATAATGGAGCTGTGAAAAACAGCTGGGTTATAATTAAATCACAATACAATGACCCAGCTTTTCACACCTTTTAACGTTATATAGTCCAACTCTAGTTCAGCTAGAGTTAACATGTTAAGAGAGGGGACTTCATAAAAATTAAACCACCCCAGTTTATGGTTGTTAATCAAACATCTTAATTAAATTAATTTAACTCTGTTATTGGGAAAGGGTTTGTGGTAACAATCTGCTCAACAATATAATTGTTCTTTTCAACACCAGGAAAGAGTTCCGGAAACGAGGAATTCTTAATTCAAATTGGCTCGCTCACTACAAAATGTGAGAAATAATGTGAGGACTGAGAGAGATAGACAAAATGTGGAGACATAGACCCGCCTTGTCTACCACGAATTTAACAAAAACTAAAACTATAATATAATTATCTGGTTATCACAGCCAGGTGTTATTTACAACATCAGTTCACACTCTGGTTCAAGGGCTACCACGCCGAAACGTGTGGCTTAGAAGATTTCCAATGGAAATGGTATCATATCAGGGAAATGGATGTAGACTGCAGATAGAGTGCGATACCTATTTCCATATTGTGATTATATAGAATCTTTACAAGAATCTATACTATGAGTATGCTCTTATGATTATAACAATACGCATCGCACACTTTCCAGAGTCCAGATCATCTGTAGACAAAAGTTTCATAGACGCTGTCCGGCAAAGGATTCAGTATCTGTCCCTGAATAAATCACAAGGAGGCTACACTAAATTGTAGATCTTTGTAAGGACCGCCTAGTCAAATTACTGTTCAAAGTGCTGAATTAACTCAAACTGAAACGGTTCACACTTTATACTAATTTGACAGTTCTTCCAGCACCTTACTTACGTATGATTCTCACTGTAAAACTTAAAAAGAGCACAGCTGTGAGCTGTCTAGACACAAGAATTACGGACGAATCCAGGGGAGGGGTTACAAACTATATAGGAACTGTTTCACATCTCACGTAATTGTATTTATCTACTACTCTCCCTCTCTCTCTCTCTCTCTCTCTCTCTCTCTCTCTCTCTCTCTCTCTCTCTCTCTTAGGCTCGCGGGCATGGTGTATGCTTCAGCAGCCTGATTTGCCTAATCGCTCCAGGTGCCATCCGTACTAGAGAAAATCATTTAATTTTGTAAGGGGAAAGGCTGAGGAGAGTTTAAACTGTATTGGGATATTAAAGCTCCTGGCTCATTAGTACTCAAATTTAGTAATTATGTCAATGTGCTCGTGGCCATTCTTATTTTGATTTTTAAGTGTTGAAGGCTCACTTCTGAATAAGATTTTATATTTATCCTTGTTTGATGTTTAAAATGCAGGCCGCGGGCGATTCCTCTAAGTCTAACGAATGTTCATTTGCCATGATTACAGTAGGGCCGGTCATCGAGTTGCCTGTTTAAAAAAGTGTGAGAGCAATCTCAAATCTCAACAAAGCAAGTATTACCAAACGGTCACAATTTCGACGAAATTTATACGGGCGATACTTCTTA